GAGGAGGAAGAGGAGGAAGAGGAGGAAGAGGAGGAAGAGGAGGAAGAGGAGGAAGAGGAGGAAGAGGAGGAAGAGGAGGAAGAGGAGGAAGAGGAAGAAGAGGAAGAAGAGGAAGAAGAAAACAACCGATCGATATCCAACCCCCCAGAACCAATATCCACATCAACATCAACCTCCACACTCCCCTCCCTACTCGACCCAACCACCAAATCCCACAACCCAGCCAGCCCAACATCCCTCACAGCCCCGCTCCAAGCCCTAACAGAGGCTTCCCTCGCCGCCTCCAACCTAACAACAGGTACCAGCCTCTCAAGACTAGAAATACAGGCCACGTCCACCCCGAACCCCCGAATGCAAATTCCATGGTACCGGAATACCTGGTCAATAAGCCAGGTAACCCTGTACCCCACCTTCCTGCGCCCCCAAGTTTTGATAGGGGGATACTTGGTCGAGAGCTTTGTGCCAGGCGTATCCTGCATATGACCTTCTAAAGTAAGAAGCCTTGTCGAGAGGGTATATGGAGTCCATGGGGCTGGGTCGTTAATCAACTCATTTATATTAGAGTCGAAGTTCCTAATCACCAGGTTTTCGCCGCGGAAGACAGGGATGCTGCACTCCCCATTCTTTAGAAACGCAGATACATCCTTCTGTTTGAGGGTAGTGAGGAGGATGATTGGGCCGTGAATGATGAGACATCCATCTTTGTTGTCATCGTCGTAGTCAAGCTCCCGCGGTGTCTGTGGAATATACGGATGCCTGGTCGGGGCGACGTTATCGGAAATAGAGTTATCGAAGTTCAGTTCAAGGTTGAGATCCCGTTCGTTCCAGGAGTCGGTGGTAGTGCCCGAGTAGCTGGAGAGTTCGTCCCCGAAGGAGACGAGGTTGTCGTTTAGAGGTGTAAAGAAGGATGCTAAGGATGATTCTGTTGTGGTGGTGGGCCAGGAGAAGAGGCTTTCGATGTCGTCTCTGGTGATGTCTATGAGGGAGGTTGTGGACGCGGATGAGCGGATGATGGGCTGTGTGCTTGAGGTCCTATTGCTTGTGTCCATGGTTATCCTTGTGTAAGAGGATGAGATGGTGGAGTGTGTTTCGTTGGTCATTCTGTCGGTGTGGTTATCTGAGACAGTAGATATTTTAGATATTTGTGGGTGTGCCTGCTGGCTTCGATATCGTTGTAGTTTCGTATGTTGTGGGTTGATATGTCTTGTTCTAGTGATATCTCATTTAGATTTGGTAGTTTCGTAGTTGTGGTGTTGTAGTAAATTCGTTGTAGTGCTGGGTGAAAGGGGTGAAGAAGGTTAGTCTACGAGGGTGTGAGTATAGATGGAGGCAGAAAACTTTTACGAGTGGATGAGATCTTTGTGACGACTGTGAAAACGTGATAGTCCTAGCAGTCTAGGCTTCAATGTTCAGCTTTGCAACACCCTGTGACTAATCCATTGACTATAACGCAGACACTGCTATTCATGTTGATATTATTGTATGTGCATACAAACTGCGGTGTACATGAGCACTATGATTCAACTAATATTAGATGGTCTCTCATGTAGAATGCACATCGTCATGGCCCACAGATCACTCAGGGCGTCCATCACCAACCTGGTGACCGGCCGTGTAGTTCCCAAAACAAGCATATTGGTACTCGGCCTTTTCCTTCAGCTTGGAAACACCCTTCAGGAAGTCCTCTACACCACAGAAGCCATTGATAGAGCTCTCACACCCATCTAGGCCTTCCTGCGACACCGGGGAACCGTTCAGCACGAACCGGATAACATCTGTGGTGTCGGATGTCGAGGAAAGATCCGGGTTCTTGTACAGCGCGCCATCAAGTTGGTGGAAGTTAGTCTTTTCCGGACAAGTCCAGATCTCGGAAATCAGATGTGCCCCGAAAGGTGTAACCTCGTTGAGCTTGAAGTTACGAGGGACAGCGTGAACCACATCGTCAGGCAGGCCCTTCGATCCATAGTTGAAGTACTTGAGACCTAGAGCGGCCAGAACTCCGACAATCACATCATCATGGGACATATCCATATACAATGGTTGGTTGAGAGGGAATGTGGCTGGCTTGGAGTCGATGGTAGTGTTGATACTCGTATCGCTGGTCTCGATCCGCTTGCCCTCTAATCTGGCTGCCAGCTCCAAAACGTATCCGATGCCTTGAGCGCGGCCAGTTGGGGCGCCGAATCCATAGTTACCATAGAACTGGAGATCAACAAAATACTCGAAATCGCGCCATTCCTGCTCCGTGAATAACGAGCAGAACGATGAGCTGCCTAGTGCCGCAGTTTCGTACGGACAGAGACTGAACATGCCCACCACATCGTAGGCCGTGAGGTTGAAATCAGAAGGAAGGGAATGCGACAGCCTCTTCAGGGCATCCTTAGTAAGATTTGGGATGAACTTTTCTCCCGAATCATCGCTGAAATGGTCAGCACACAGTATATTGCGTACGAAGCTAGTGCTTACCCTTCTTCCAAGTCTCCTGGGCAGGAACCGTCGGACGCCAGAGTGTTGTTGAACCCGGTGCCCTCGTGCGTTATAACAAGGTCATATTCGGAATAGGAGCTATTGGCGCCAGTATTTCCAAAGAAGCCGCCTAACAAGTCAGCACGACACAATTATACCAATTAATGGCAAACGTACTCAACCACCAACGAGCGCTCTCCAAAATTCTAGCCTGGTCTGTCGTCCTGAAGATCGGTTTCGGTCGCTCGGTCCCATTGGGATAGACGTTCAAAGAAGAATCGTAAGATGCGACGCCGAGAGGGGCCCGATAAAGTGCGCGTCCATACTTCGACCAGATATTTGCGCCGGAAGTCGCCTCCGTCGCAGCACCAGATACGAGCAGAAGGTCCTCTCCGAGTACATACTCCCACTCATTCAAAAACGACAAAGCCCCTTTACCGACCGTCGCGTTGTCATGGCGCTTGGTGTAATTCTTGAGCTTCTGGGCAAAATCTTCAATTACGCCACCGTCCAGTTTCCACGACGTAGGATAGCGCTGTGCGTGTCTGTGGAGGACATGGACCTGGGAAAGCTCACAGCCCCTGGGGACACCGTTCGGCACCTCAAACCCAGGCTGGTCCTTATAAGGGCTAAGGTTGCCCCAGCTGGTAGACATGTCAAATCCAGAGGGGTAGCTGACCCCAGTCGGACCAGATGCCGCGGCTGATGAGCTTGAGGTGGGTGATGCATCGCCTACTACTGCCTGAAAGGCGAGTAGGGCTGCCGTTGAATGCAATAACTGCTGCATCTGAGGCTTAATGCGAATTTATTCGAACGGTTGATGATCGGGATGCAAGGTGAAAGGGGGTGGTGGTATGTCTTAAATATTATAAGTTCCCCGGTGACGGCCGGTGAAGGCAGATAAGGAATTGGGCTATTTAAGCCAACAGTCAAGCCATATTGTTTTTAGGTGCTGAAGGGTGGATCTACGCTGCACCTTCCGTTACGAGGATCGGACATTCCGCAAGGTATCATCGTCCCTGCGGATCGGTGCAATCCGCCAGTGAGAGGCGCGTGGATTTGGACTAAGGATGCTTAGCGGAATTAGTCTAATGCGTAGCGTGATCGATTGGGTGGTTTATCAGGAAAGACATGGGGAGGAGCTATAGGCAGTTAGTGATAGGCAGTTAGTTATAGGGCTTTGCTTCCCGGGGTCACTGAGCCGAAGGTCCGAATGGGGTATGTGCTCACGCGATCATCGATTCTCCTCATGTTGTACTAACATCTACTTCTATAGCGGTGACATAATTTTTGCGGGGTTATACGCCCGGTCTTCGACGATCAGATCTAACCGAGCAATGGGAGAATGTTATTCGCGTCGTCTTTAATAATCCCGTAATAATAACCTAACCCATGAGGGGGTCAAGGAGAGTTGTGAACCAACCATACCCAAGTATGCATGCTGGAGCTACGCTATTTACCATTTCTCAATACCCGGCTATACTGGGAATTATTATTTGGGAGAAGGATGCGGAAATTCTAGTTTAGATATCGAATAACTTGAGAACTTGAAGAAAGGGGTTCGGCTATTCCTGTCAATCTGCCAAGATATATATAATTGCCCAGGTACTAAGAAATTATGCCAGTATTGAGAACAATTTAAGCACTTTGAGAGTAAGAAACTTAGTATTATTACATACAACCGAGATATATGGTTTTGACCAGAGTCATAGGTGAAGCTGCGGATTGCTACAATTGGAGGTAGAACAGGTATCCAACAATCTAATCCGCCCATGAACAACCAGACAACGCTAGGGCATGAAGGCACAAAATGGTACATTAAGAAAAGAAGAGAAGAGAAGGCACAGAAAGGTATGCACAAAACACAAGGTGTAATCGATTATGTATCGAGAACAGGTATCTAAGCGGTGGATTCTTCAACGTGTTCATGCTTGGACTTCTTCTCCTTCTTCTTCTTCTCCTTCTCATCCTTGCCCTTCTTCGTCATGGCATCGGCCATAAGTTGCTCAAACGCCATATAGTCTCCTTCCTCCTCGGGGTCACGTTCCGCCTGCACTGTGTTTAGTATCCCAGCATGCTAGAAACGTGGAGGCATAGATTGTGCTTACCTTCTGATAAATATTACCCGCAATGACCAGGGCATGAGCACGTTCAACACGCTTGTCCAATTTGATCTTCTTGTCGCCCAGGACTTGATCACACACATCGCGCAGCACGCTCTGTATCTCGAACTTACTACCCCGCCAAGCAGCCGCCAAGATCTTGCCTGTGACCTTCTTCTCGTACTCAGCTCTCTTCTCGTCGGTCCAGTCTTCGCCACCACGTTCTTCCAGCTTGGCCATCTCTTCCATAGTCATCTGCGCATCAATGGCAGTTGAGATGGTGGTCCATGTCTCCTTGGCGAGGGTACCCTTGTCCTTCAGTCGGGAGAAGAAGCCCGAGATACCGAGGAATTTCTGGGACTTCAGGAACGAGCTACCTTTCTGGACGTATGTCTGACCAATCGCATGCAGGATTTCAAGACCGAAAGACTCCATCTTCAGATTCTCTACCTCGAGACGGATCTTCTCCTCAAATGCGCGTGTCACATCGGCGCCCTTATCCGTTTCGGTCCAGACGCTGATCTTGTCCACCAGCTTCGTGGCCAATGTATTGACTCGTTCTTCGCGGGCCTTCTTCCTCTCCAATTCGTATGCAGCCAAGCGCTCCTCCTGTTCCCGAGACAAACCGCCCTTCTTTTTGCTCTTTTTGTGTAGTTCCTTCTCCTCCGCAGACAGACCAGCTGCCTCCATCCGTGCCTCCTCCTCTGACTTGTCCATGATGGCTTGTTGACCAAGGTAGCGACGAGGCGTACTTGTACCGGAGCTGGGCGTTGGAGTGGGTTTCTCGGATTTCTCTTCAGAAGCGGAGGCATCCGCAGCGGTTGCACTAGCAGCAGGAGCAGGAGCAGGAGTAGCAGCAGCGCCCTCCGCTGAAGTGTCAGCCGCCGATTTGGCGTCTTCCTCGTGTATATTCAGTTTCTCCTCCGCAGATGCAGCCAGTTCATCCTCCTCCATCTCCTGCATGGTGATATCCATCGTAGTGGTGAGATCCTTCATAAGAGAAATTTCACCGATAAGGTCGACGAAAGCATTGCCACCAAAGATCATGCTGAAGAACTCCGACGGGTCCTCTTCAACCAGGTATTAGCCAAGAACAAATTATCCGCGGCACTAAAGCACACATACCGAAACCACCACCGGGGACTGCATCCTCCTTGCCAAACTTATCATATCGCTTTCGCAGTTCTTCGTCGCTGAGGACTTGGTAGGCTTCTCCAATCTGGTCGAAATAGTAAGTATCAAGAGCTAGCGGGCAGATATCTTTGTAGCGAGGCAAAAACTAGCGTACCGCCTGAAATCTCGCATGTGCAGTCTCATCTCCGGGGTTCTTGTCTGTGGGCGGTTAGGATCAAGAGAAGGTGCATGACGCGAGCGAGTGAAGTATACCAGGGTGAGTGACAATGGCAAGTTTGCGATATGCCTTTTTGATCTCAAGTTCGGTTGCCGTGGGAGGCACCCCCAGGGCATCGTAGTACGTAGTATCTGCGACCATAATGCGGTATTTTGTGGAGTTCAACCCAACAGGAGGTATATACCGGCTATCTCCAGGACCACAGAGCAGTAAAACCTAAGAATACGAAAAGAAGTAGAGAAGAGGAACAGAAAATAGGAGATAGAAGAAGACGACCAAAACAGCCGGCGTCGTCGTAGTAGTGGTATTGATAGGTACACAACTAACTTTTTTTTTCTGCCTGACGATGCTTTCCGACGGGAGTTTCGTCATGCGCGGGGCGCCCATGACTTTTGTCCGGACCCCAAAAGGGACCATTATTGTCACCGTATTGTCATATAGGCTGTCAGCCACACCGCTTGATATTGTTTATCACGACGTATTAATGGTAATTACGCGTTATGCGCACCAGCCTCTCCGCCTAGACACGCTAATAGGCTCTAGCCACAAGCTACTAACTAGAGGCTCCCGCAACCGAACGTGCGTCTTTGTTTCTCTCATTTTAAAATCCCTGCTTTCTTTCTTCCTTTTCAACAACCACTCTCTCCCTCCTCTCCTCTTTTTTCCTACTCTATTTTACCTCGAACCTCCTTAATTCCCCCATCTCATCTTTCACCTCTCACTCAATTGCCCTACCTTATCCCCATATATCCCTTTTATATCCCCTCAGTCCCCTCTAGTTTGTGAGACTATTGGCAATCTGTCCACTACTGTACAGTAACACTTCGGAACATCCGTACCGTTTCACTCCCAACATTTTTGTTTCCCTTCTTTTCTGTATGACTATTGCCTTTTGACACAGCGTATCTATTTAATCTGTTGCTATTGCTTAATTTGCCTTTCCCCTTTTTCCTTCCCTGTACCGTGCCCCCCGTACAACCGCCATCATGCGTGCTACCGAAGCCCTCTATTATATGCTCCGCCCTAACCAGTTGAGGTCCATCGTTCAATGGTAAGTTCCCATATCCTCGACCTGCATTATTTTTCCACTGTGAAGGTGTATGTGCCAACGCTTACAGAGGTTCATTTTTCTCCCGTGATAGGAAAGTTTGGCACAACCCTGTCCATGAACGCAAGGTGCAGGATGAAACAGAAACGCAGAAGGCCTGCTTCAATTTCCTCGACTTGACAAGTCGGAGTTTCAGCGCTGTGATTAAGGAGCTTCATCCCGAACTGCTACTTCCCATTTGCGTTTTCTACCTGGTTCTTCGCGGGTTGGATACCGTCGAAGACGACACATCGATTCCTCTGAAAACCAAGGAGCCGATGCTGCGTGAGTTTAAGGACTATCTGGAGCAGGATGGCTGGACGTTCGATGGGAACCGCCCCGAAGAGAAAGACCGTGAACTGCTGGTTCAGTTTCACAACGTCATCACTGAGTTCAAGAACATGAAGCCGGCCTACCGGGAGATCATCAAGGATATCACTGATAAGATGGGCAATGGTATGGCCGATTACTGCCGAAAGGCGGAATTAGAGGATGCCAGCGTCAAGACAGTCGAGGAATATGATCTCTACTGCTACTATGTCGCCGGCTTGGTGGGTGAAGGGTTGACTCGCCTCTTTGTTGAGGCTGAGTTGGCCAACCCAGCACTGCTCTCCCGTCCACGTCTACACAAGTCCATGGGACTCTTTCTGCAGAAGACTAACATCATTCGTGACGTGCGGGAGGACCACGATGATGACCGACACTTCTGGCCCAAAGAAATTTGGTCCAAGTATGTCACCGAGTTTGAGGATCTCTTCAAGCCCGAGAACCGCGAGACTGCTCTCAACTGTGGATCCGAAATGGTTCTCAATGCTCTGGAGCACGTCGAAGAGTGTCTGTTCTACCTCGCTGGCCTGCGGGAGCAGAGTGTTTTCAACTTCTGCGCCATTCCCCAGTCTATGGCCATTGCTACCTTGGAGCTTTGCTTCCGCAATCCGGACATGTTCGATCGTAATATTAAGATCACCAAGGGTGAGGCCTGTCAGTTGATGATGGAGTCGACCCAGAACCTTCGTGTTCTCTGCGATACATTCCGCCGCTATGCTCGCCGGATCCATAAGAAGAATACTCCTAAGGATCCCAACTTTCTCAAGATCAGCATTGTTTGTGGAAAGGTATGCTATCACTCCTTTGAATGCTGGCACATAACCATACTGACAGTACCCAGATTGAGAAGTTCATGGACACAATCTTCCCCCAGCAGACTGCTGCAGAAGCCAAGCGCAAGGTGCAAGGCGAGCAGTCAGAAGCTGAGAAGGAGAAGGCCAGACAGGAAGCTGAAACGCGCCAGGATCTGTTCTTCATGTTGGCTTTGATGGGTGTGATTGTGCTGATCGTGTCGATCATTATGGTATGTTTTTGACGACATGAATCGTGATGAACTACACTGACCGTTCTTAGATTACAACTGCCTGGTTCTTGGGCGCCCGCTTCGACATCGCGTGGCAAGAGCTGAAGACCGGCAACTTCCGCCCACCTGCCAAGAGGATTCCTGGGGAACTGTAAGCGTGAGTTACGGATTTACGACGCCTTTGTTTTATCAGCAGATGACCGCGCATGGCCCTTGTTCATATTACCCTTCTTGCCATGACGCTTTATGTTTAACTAATAACGATAATATCTTCTTCCCTTTCATCCTCTCGCTTACAGTATTGCTCGTGTGGGAACAATGGCAGGTCAACTAGCACGGATGTCAAATTGCAATCTAGCCCTTTCATGGCTGTGGTTGTGCCGAAGAAGTGCTGATATTGAGAGTGAGAATTTCTCCGACCAGTGACGTACTAGATGTGTGTCCTGCAGCTTTGCTGAGATGGCACACCTCCATTGACGATCTGGAACACCCTTGTATCTATCCTATGCCTTGTAGTTGCTTTGTATACGCATCGTACTGTGATAGTGTATTACTTGAGTAATTCAATACCATTGATTTATGATCCACCATTCTTTCCATATGTAACATGGGCTCATCCAATATTCATCTGGCCGACAACGCAGCCAACCCCAGATTCCACATCCTAACCCCACATAATATCACCAGCCACTATGAATCCTAAGATCCATCTGGCATCATCATACTACTACACCCCAACCAACCCAACTAAAGAAACCCCCAAACCCCCATATCCACCCTCCTCAACCTCCCTCGCAGCGTCCACAAAATCCCCAACCGTCAACCTCAACCCAGCCTCCGAAACCAAATCCTCCCCATCCCCAAGAACTCCCCTCTCCAAAGGTCCCGGCATACCACCATTCAACTCCCAAACCCTCCCATCCCCACCCTTCACAAACCCCACAAAATGGAACCCATTATCCTCCTCCGGCCCCGGCACCCCCGAACTGCCTCCCCGCGCCGCATCCATATGCGCCTCCTCCAGAAACGAGGACTCATAGACCACCCGCGCCCGATCCTCCGGTGCTAATGAGACCAACTCCTCTCGTAACTTCGCCAACTCCGACCCGCAGGCCAGATGCGTCCCGTTATCGAGATTCAGCACGCAGTGCAGGAAGGCCATGAGACCGCAGGCGTGGCCGATTGTTTGGGGGATCCAGATCGGGTCGTTTTCATTGGGGGTGGTGTATTTGGGGAGGGTGGATTGGAGGCTTGAGCGGGCGCGGGTGTAGATGGGTGATGCGGCGAGGAAGATTAGGGCGTTGATGGGATGGGGTAGGTCTGTGGGGGGAGGGGAGAGGGTGAAGATGTCGTGGAAGGTGAGGGTTTGGATTGTGAGGGTGGTGGCGAGGTGGGTGTAGACTTCGGGGTTGTTTTCTGGTTATTATATGTTAGTTTGTTGATTTTATAGTATGTAGGTATGTATGTATGTATGTATGTATGTATGTGTATGTACCTAGGGGAATGAAGGTCTTGACCCCGTTGATGATTTTGGCGCCGCTGGGGAGTGTGGTTGACATGGTTGTTTGTTGGTTGATAATAGGAGTTTATGATAACTGAAGGACTTTGATGACCGTGAAGGAAACTTGAAATGTGGTGGATGTGGTTCAGTTGAATGTTGTTGGTATGTATTATATCTCTAATTATTATTAGGCAGAGACGGGTGACGCAATGTAGGTATAAAGGAATCGATGCCTGAGGAAGGTTGTCAACCTGACATGCATACAAAGGCCTATTTACTGCAGCGATATGCATACTTACGGGCAGAAGCGTGTTATAGGTCGTTGCATGAAGTCTAAATTATCTGATCGGCATTACTTATAGATAGTATCATTTATATGCCATCCGGGAAGTATAGTGCGGTCTCAGGTCTTACCTAGCATTTGTGATTTTACCCGAACATGAGTTTGAGTATTGAAGGAGGATAATATAGCTAGGTTGCTTATACAAGGATATAGCTAGGAAAAGAATTCTTGGAAACTAAAAATGTTTCCCAGAGAACCTACCGGCGATTTAGAAAGATTATAGGTAGATCTACTCTAAACAATAGCATCACTCTTAATTCTATCTTAGGGTTCTGTTATATTGGCCCTGTTTGGGCTTATAAGAAGCACCCGGTACCGTCGTATATTGTATTACAGGTGTATTCAACCTAGCCCACGTTCTTCTATTCTCGACAAGTCCTTCGAGACAGGTTAGCCACGGCGGATATGCTTAACGCACGGCGTGACTCCGAACAGACAGCGCTCGTGGGCTCCGAATATCGGCAGATAAATTAGTCAACTGAGCACGTTCGGACAAGGTTAAGCTCAAATAGGTGGAACACGTAGCTCCTGAAGCCTACGGCGAGGCTGTATTATACAGCGCTGTGTTTAGAGGTAGAGGTGCGCTGTAATACGAGGCTTGCTTTTGCGGCTGTCATCCAACAAAAGGAGGGGAAATCACCAGCCTTGAAGCAGAACAAGTGCAGTGACGACTTGCGCCAATGGCGTCGTGATACTGAGCTGGGTGATGCATAAAAAGCAAAGAAAGTTAGCCAATGAAATGGTACCAAGAGAGGCATTCAACCCGATGAGGAAACATACTTGGTTGATGGGACATGGGAGTAGCAAATAGGTTGAATCAGTACAATTACTGGCAGCTAACTTCATGAGAAAGGCTCCATGCTCTGATTAGCTGCAATAGCATCGTATCTGCCTAGAAAACACTGCAAAGAGTCATTCTTACTTGACGGTCTCCAATCCTGAGGCGCCATGGCGGAAATACAAGTCGCTTAATGGCAATGAAGTGCTCACTTTTATGCCGCGCTACTCATCGTGCGAACAGTGTCAGAGGCGCCACGTTGACAGGAGACATTTTGGAAGCATGTCAGATTAACGACAGGACTGTTATTGGCGGTGACCATGCTGCCAGGGCAAACAGTCAAGGGCGAGGCTGTCGCCCACTTTTGTATTAAACCTCCCAACTAGCCACCAGTCTTCGATCGTCCAAAATAATCTTGCTGAAAAAAACCTCCATTGAACGCACAACTATTTCTCCTCCTTCGAAGACTCATATCCGAGATACTACAATAGTCATGGCAGTTCGTACTTCATTCATGAAATAGCTTTGCTACAACATGTGTCGGGCGAATGTAACGCTGACAAAATTACTAGGAAACTGTTTGCACTGTGAATGGATGCTATGGAGTTTGGCTTGTGGTCAATTATAACCTCGGATTCACTTCGGGCGGATTTGCCATTTGGAGTCTCGTGAACCAGGCAACTGGCGAGACAAGGACTGCACCAGAAAACGAATGTAATATCATCCGATAAGGCAGCACTTCGACTCGATTCTAAAGATGACCTGTTGAGTGTTGTCCATTTAACGAAGGGGCTATGATTGTCGCTGGGCAAGGGAATTGTGGTGTCAGATATGCCGGACGGTATGTTAGGGACTGGGGAAAGGGTGAGTGGTATGCGAAAGGGCAAGATATAAGGATTCTTAATTCCAGGTTATCTACCTAGCTACATCTAAGTTCTTGTACTGAAATCTGATAACATGGTTCTTTGATTGGGTGTCATATATGCTAAGTCCCCGCTTAGCCCTAACAACCTACAGAGTCTTAAGCCATATGGTACTGGCTTAGAACGTCTCTACAGTCCGCCCCCATTACATCCTTTAAGCCAAGCCTGACTACAATCGGCGCATTAAAGACTATGATGGTCAGGCAAAAGTAAAAACATAGCCAACCTTCGCTTAATAGCGTCTTTCAACCGTGAGGTCATACAATGCTTGGCGTCGGGATGCCGAGACTCGCTATCTACCGAGCGTCTCGACAGTGTATTTATTAGACTAAGTGGACTCCCGCCTGCGGTGCCCCTTAACAGTTCTTTTATCATTCTTCCGCCCTCACGCAATTATCGCAAGTTCAAGTCCAGTTCACCTCGCAATTGACCAATTTTACACCCACCAACGGTGCAAACATATCTTCTGATGGAGTCCGTTACCGTCAAAAATTTACTAGTACAAAATCACCAGAAAATACTAGTATTACCTATATAGCCTGACCTAGAGCGTCTTTCTGCACAACTATATCATTCCGGATTCATACTCAAAGACCAGCAAACCCGCCAGTAAAAGATGGCCACCAGCGAAACAGCCTTCGCCTACCACGAGCCAGCCATTAGCACAATCCTGAACCAAACAGGCTTCCTGCTAGTTCTCAATCTAGTCAATGTGTGCCTCGACAAACTCGTCTACTGTGGACTAATCGGCCAGCTCTTCATCGGCATCCTCTGGGGCACTCCTGGCGCAAAATGGCTTACCCGCGACATGGAAACTGTGATCCAGCAGCTCGGCTACCTTGGTTTGATAATGCTCGTCTACGAAGGCGGGCTATCGACGTCCCTGCCGTCCCTGAAAGCGAACCTGCTACTTTCACTCGCAGTAGCCATCACCGGCATCGGCGCTCCAATGGGCCTCTCCTTCATTCTAACCGAGCTGGTAGCCGCAACGCCCCTCCAGGCCTTCTCCGCCGGAGCGGCTCTCAGCGCAACCAGTCTAGGAACCACGTTCACCATCCTCTCCACTACGGATCTGATCAAGACCCGACTGGGAACGGTTACCACCGGCGCAGCCATGCTAGATGATGTCGTGGGACTGGTACTGGTCCAGATCATCACCAATCTAGGCGGGAATAGTGATTCGTTTAGTGCGGTGACTGTTGTACGGCCCGTTTTTGTTTCGATCGGGTTCGGGGTTGGTGTGGTGCTTTGGTGTCTGTTGGGCATTAGACCTGCGTTGAAGGTCATTCTTGCCCATAAGCATAGATTCCCCGAGTTTACGGGGACGGTTCAGTTTTATTTTCTGGTGAATACGTGTTTGCTGGTGGGCATGGTGGCTGGGGCTACTTATGCGGGCACGTCTAGTCTCTTTGCTGCGTATCTGGCTGGCGTGATGACGTCTTGGATGGATGACTTTGTGAGGGAGAATTCGGGGACAGTGGATGCTGCTAATGCTACCGCGTCTACTGAATCAACTACGGGAAATACCTCTCAAGAGGAGGATTCCAATCAGGATGACCAGACCACTGGCCAACAGACTGCCAGCCCAAAACATGAGACTCCTACCGGCAGTTTGGTCTACGAAAAATACTACCATGAACCGGTGACCAGGATCCTGGTCCCTCTGTTCTTCGTAAGTCATCCACTCACTCCAACCAGACAAATGAAAACTACTAACACGAGTGAACAAAGGCCTCAATCGGCTTCGCCATCCCCATCACAGAAATGTTCAACGGAAAAATAGTCTGGCGTGGCGTCGTCTACGCCATCCTCATGACATTCGGCAAGTTGATCACCGGTCTCTGGCTCGTGCGGTTCTCGTCTCGACCCGTTTCAAGTGTTCTCCAGATTCTCAAGAAACCTTTTTCTCGGGTAGTTCTATTCTGCGCGAGTCCCAGAGCCGGGTCTAAGAAGCAACAGAAGGAGAACCAAGAAACTCAATCGCAGGATCCCCCAAGCCTCCAAGACAAGTCACAAGACCAACCAACACCAGCCCAACCAACTACCCAAGCACGCGAAGCTATCAACAGCGAACCTACAGCTCAAAACTCACAACCTACCTCGACTCTCCCGCCGAGGCCCAAATCACTCTATCCCGCTTCAATCCTGGGCCTGGCGATGGTCTCCCGCGGCGAAGTCGGGTACCTCATTGCTTCGCTCGCCGAGTCAAAGGGGATCTTTGGGACTAGCTCTAGTGGTGGCTCGTCCGAGACATATCTGGTGATTGTTTGGGCGATTTCGCTGTGTACGCTTTGGGGGCCGATTTGTGTCGGGACGTTGGTCAAGAGGGTGAAGACTTTGCAGAGGATGAGGGAAGATCGGGGTGGGGAGGATCCGTTGGGTGTTTGGGGGATTTAGATTGTTTTTTGTTGTAGGTTGTGGGGGAATGGGCTTTGAGGGGGTACATCTGACACACGGTTGGATGTGTATGTCCCGTCAGGATTCAAGTATAGTGTGGATTTCAGAGGATACTTTAGTCAACTGTTTAGTGATAAGTGTGCTAGAACCCTACCCGACAAGAAACCATCGTCCTTGCTGTTCATATAAGTTGTCAAATTTTCAACGGGGATGGAAGCAAAACCGTTAAAATGGAATTCTGTCAAGCCGACCTTAAGATGGCTCAGTGCTAGTGCTGTGCCAGTCTCTGCTTGTACCTGAACATATAAGTTGAAGAAGACGTGGCATGGAGATGAGATGGACTTATTGTTCCCAATATATGCAAGAGTTTCCACGAAGTCAGAGAATAAAACTCAACAGGAGAGGTTTAGTTATCCTGACAGTACTATGTATTCATACATGTCTTTGGCTGTAGTACGTGTTATATAGTAATGCAAGCAGGAATATACTGATGGTGGTGTTCAAACAGCTGGCTGACTCGCAAACCCACTTGATGTGCTCTACCCGAATGAAGTAAAGAAAAAAAAATGTCCTAGTGTGCATAGTTAGTTTAAGCGGCGAGAGATACAGTACATACCTCCCAAACTATCTAGGAGCCCAATTTCTAGATATGAGACCTAGCTAGAGCTTAGAAGAGCAGCATATACATAACGATCAGACTCTAGAGTCCACGGCCATCATCGCATTCCTCTTCCCTTGATCCCCTAACACCCCGTCAATGCAACATCATTAATAATAATACCCAAAATCCAAATATTCACGGCAAAGAAACCCAAACTAGCGAGAAACAATCCCGGCACGAAACTAGACAAGCCGAGAAATTCGAGGTAGTAGCCTTGCTGAAGCCAGAGGGCCTGGTATTCTCATTAGTACTGTGGGTTTTTAATCGTGGTATGTTCTTCTTATTGGCTCTGAAAGCAACGAAAAATAAGCAAGGGTGTTTGCATACCTGAGCGATGACCCATAGAGCCGTAACGGTAATGCCCAGTCTTGGATTCTTCATCAAGGATGAGGAAGGCAGGTAGAACGGAAGAAAGATGAGATACCAGAGGAAATACTTTTGCACAAGTTAGTCTTCGCATCTTCGGCCCGAACGAGAAGCCTAGGGACGGATAGGAGAAGCATACCTGGCTCGTGCACACTTTGTTGAACGTAACGAATGCGAACGTCTGGGCTAGCATCGCACCTGGCAGGCTTCTTTTGGCTAGAACAATTGGGATAACGACGACAGAGAGTAGTAACTGCGGAATGAAAGCTAAAGACTCAAAGCTCCCCTGGACGTCTCCAGCAGCGGAGAGATAAAGGAGGCTACTGTAGGGTGAAAAGTTGTGGCGGTGGTCGATGCGAGTTAGATGATGCAGATAGGTATGCTGCGCGAAAGGAAAGTCGTAGAGGATGTACATGGAGATGTTGAGACCGGAGAAGGTGGCCAGTGCGGTGGTGGTGAGAAGAAGACGAGAGGGTGTGATGAAGTTGAAGATGTGAGTAAGGAGACTTCGATCTTGCTCCGGCTTTTGCTTTTGCGAAGGTTCCTTCAGCCCTTCGCGCTCTTCGTCCAGCCACCAGATGATAGACGGCCCGTAGATAAAGGGGTAAATCTTGAAATGTACGCTGAGCCCAAGAAGTACTCCGGCGAGAGTGATTCTCCTGTTCAAGACAGCCCAGAGCAAGGCAATGACTAGCACACATAGGAGACCCTCGGAGCTTCCTCGCGTACTAATATTGGCGACCATAGGATTCAGTAGCCAAACGCTGGCATACTTGAGAGCGCGTGGCGGGCTCATGGCGTAAAAGGATGTGAGCGCTTTCACGATGAGCCATCCGGCCACCACGTCAGAGATAGCAAAAAGAGCTTTGCCAAAAGAGAAGAAACCATCCCAGGAGGTTGGTAGAAGCATCCATGCGAGAAGAGGTGTGTACCGGTACGTATCTCGAGCGTATGGTGAAGCGCCCTTCGAAACATACCGGGCTGCGTCGGTGAAAACCATGTAGTCAATGTCGGTGTATTTGACGGCTGAGTGGGCATCTTGCCAGGCGCCATAAACAAGAAGAATAGCGCGTAAGACAATAGCGGCACCGAACACCAGTGATGGTCTCTCAAATAAAGAAGCCATGACCGATAATTCTCCTATTGACTAGAGTTCATCAGGGTTCGTCGCTAGGCTGCAAGTTTTGCGAAACTTAAATGTAATGCACACATCAATTAATTGCGCAACAGAGCTATACGATAGTGATATGATAATATATATATCAGGTAAAACTTGTGGGCAATTTTACTTTATGTTGCAGCCAGGTTCATATGGTGATTGCGGATACGCCTCAAGAAGCATAACGTGTGGTTTTTGGCGTTTGGCGTTTTGGCTGAGTCAGCACCCTGGCGATCCCTGCATAATGTATACTGTCTTAAGAGAAACATAGGCATCCAAAAACTTATGATCATTCATATACACTATATGCTCTTTTAAAAATCCTGGTTATATACACTCGTCCATCCCGTGCTGTTTGCTAAAATATAACTCGCTGTAATGCTTCTCCAGACAAAATAAGTGGGAAAGAAAAAGATCAAGGCAAAAAAGAAAAAAGAAAAAAGAAAAAAAGACATAAGAAGAAAGAAAAAGTGCCCTTAGCCAGAAGGGCTAGATGTTTTTGTTTTAAAAAAAAAACAATAGTTGACATTTTAGTAGTAAGGTAAAGGTGGATTTGCATAGTAGGCACCGTCACCCATAGAGGCCCCCATAAAGGCTGCACCATTGTTGGTATATTTCACGGCTTTGTCTGTTTGGGCGAACAGTGTTTCGTCGTTGAAGCTGTTAGTGTCCGTTATCCCAGGCCATAGGCTGCTGTCACTCCAGCTCAGGAAGTCCCATAGGTACTGGGCCGTCGAGTCATCGATGACTGGAGGTGCAAACGGATCGAAGCCTGCCTCATTCTGTAGGAAAATGTTTTGGGAAGGAAAAATCCCCGAAGCGGCTCGAGGAAATGTCCCTTCGCGTGAGGCAGCATACATGCTGTTGACGATGCCAACCTCGTTAGCCATACTGGTCCCTCTCTTACTGGCCTCCAATATCTGCGATACGGCATCCAACGTCCTTTTCGCAGTCGGGCTCCATTGTTCCAGTCGGGCCAGTACAAGCATTGCCATCTCAACCTGAGACTGGCAGCTCGTAACAGTAGCTCTAGGGTCACTCGTTGTGTTGTCATTGAGAAATAATCCCAATAGTGGAACCATGACTGCCTGGAATATGAGCCAGACAGCACTCCAGCCCGACATTTGATGTGACTGAGCTGTGGAAGAAATGTCTTGAATTGTAGCCTCCGCGATCTGTCGACACCTCTCAATTGCCGTCCGCTCTTCAGACCGGAGGGCAATATATGGAACTCGTCGCATGGCGTAGCTAAGTAGGGTTGGGCGGTATATGAGCATACGCTGGTTGTAGTACCGCCATTTCATGACTGTCCTCGTGATGATGATTGATTCGGAACACGGCTCGTGGTCTTTCAGTATATATGGAAGGTTCTCATACCACTCTAATAGTTGATTATCGAAGTGCGACATTTCGTGGTACCTCGTCAACGGAGCGGCAGCCAAAATTTCTTGGATCTGTGTCGCAATTTTACAGAACCGAACGTTTTCTAGAAGCGGTATAATGTCGAGAACATTTCCCTAAAAGGGTTAGAATGATAGACTCATAGATTTCGGATGCATACATACCCTTTCTCGGTACTGTGGCAGTTTAACGGTAATGGTCGGTCCAAACCGTCCCATGCTCGGTCGTCCCAGAGTCATACAGCCCCAAGTGTCCAGGCAAAACAGCGACCACCACACTCGCCGTTTCAGGTCTGTCGAATATATGTTCTGTTTACACGACCCTTCCTGGCTATCTGAAAACTCTTTGTGCAGGCCCAAAGCTGCAGCCATACGCAACGCAGCTCCCATGAGCGAATATGCCAGGTTTGGTTGACTAACGTAATGAAGATACTGCCCTCCCAAAAGGCCAAGAGTTTGGATGGTCTCTATATGCGAAGAGCCAAGAGATTCTAAATTCAAATAGCTCTTACAGCGCTGGGCGTAAATTGTGTGGGCCATGTCATCCGATGGGCACGCTGCGATACTACCCAAGGCAAGCACAATGTTCAGTAGTGCCAGCCAACGTTCATCCTTTCTGCATCCCGAGTGATAGATATCGCGGAAGATTTGCTCATCTAACATGGGCACGAATGGCTGAAAATAAGTAAAGTAGGCGTCGAGCAACTGCATCTCTGTTACTGGTCGATGTCGTTGAGGGGGCGTTGTTGGTTGCTGAGACTCTTGGACCGGCCATGTTTGTGCCTCTGCTGGGGAGTATCCCAGGGCTGAATCACTAGGTTCTGTGGTGGTCGAGGAGTGAGAGAAGTAAGAGAGGGCGCCAGGGTCAAGGCAGAGGATCACTTTAAGAACAGCATTGATGGATGACACTCCTAGATAAGAGGAAGGCTGTCTAGATGAGAGTGACAAGGCATTGACGTCGTCCGAAAAATTATTGGATACCTCGGTATAACCCGAGTTCTGAGAATCACCGGATTCTTCAGGCATCGTCTGCAAAGATTCCAGGTTGCCATCTTCGTTGGAGACGGGGGAGACATGGGCTTCGACCGATGCCGAGGTAGCTGGCGACGCTGGGTGTGGCGGCTGCGTCTGCAGCTGGGATGTTTTGCCCGTCAGCTCCAAAAGCTTTTCGCGAGGCAAGCTAACAAGATTTTCTGGTGGGATATTGGGGAAGAGTTTCTCGAGCACGCCCCGATACTCATCCAGGGTGGTGGAGAGTTTTTCTACATGTCTGCAAATTTCATTCCCACGTAAGCCAGGTATAGACCTTCCACCGTCTCGGTGGGGAGATAATTGTGGGGAGGAAGGGGCATTTATCTTTGATTAAAAATTTAAAAAAAAAAAAAAGGAAGAGAGCAACCCACCTCCGGGAGGGCCGGGGATCTGCATAATGACACTGGTCGGCTTTCTTATACCACCGACATGCTTCGCACGGCTTTTCGCCGTCACATTTGATCTTGCGATGCCTGCAGGATGTACAAGCACGAAGGGTAGTCACACGCCGGCCGACGGATGGCTGGCGCTCACCACGACCCCGGGCTGGGGCCGAGTTGTTCGGATTTTCGAATCCTTCAAAGGTGTGGAACATCTCCAAGAACCGGATTCTAGGCAATCTCAGACAGTGATAAACAGAAGACACCCACTCAGCTGATGCATTTAGATCCAAGTCGATCAGAAACAGCCATCGGAGGTAGCAGACGTCCAGCAGTTTGAATGCAGCCGAGTCCAGGGATTTTTTTCTGGAAACAGCGGAGGCCGACTAGTCTAATAATATAATAATGCCAGGGAAAAGGCCGCCACCGTCTAACTTCGCAGCGTACTAGAAGTGAGACCCTGCAGATTGCGGGCTGGTGATTAAAGGGGTGGGAATTAGGGGGATTTTTAGAATGAATGCCCTTCGACGACACGGAATATGTCACTGTTTGATGTCCACTAGGAATAGAGAACCACAAAGAGATAAGAAAACTGGGTTAAAAAAACATTAGCAAGATAAAACCGCGTTGTCGATTACGATAAAGGGTTATGGAAAAGGTGTTTGGGACCGGATGGGGCAAAAGAAGAATATTAAGAGTGTTTGAGAGTCGAACAAAAACGGGTGATGCGCCAGGATGAGTAGAAAGTTAAGAGTGGAGGCCGATGGAACCGTCTAACCCTATCGCCAGCCAGGCTGAACAAACCCTCGTTGGCAGATCGTCCTGAGATTGTCCGCGGTTTCCCCGCATTTCTTGATTAATGCATGCACACAGAAGAATTAAATTATTTCCTTTCTTCTACCATTCGTTGACCAGGTGCAGGGTCCCAGAGTATCCTTTGATATCCGACGCAGTTAACCCATCGGTTAACCGCTGACCTTGTTGGCTAAATGACACCGTGTCTGTCTATTACCCCTCGTGACGCCAGGTGAGAAGTCTATCACTTAACGCGGCGTCCTGGGAACCAAGGAAAGAGCACTATTCATAGAGTGGGGGGGAATAGGACCATGAGGTGGTCTCTACATCCCTACGATACGACAAGAAACCCACTTCATCCCCTCAAGCCCCGGCTCCTGCGATGGAAATGCCGTCGGCTTCCAGCTATACTTTGAATCATTCTACAGACTATGAGGTGCTGGCACCATTTTTAAAGTTAATGAAATGGGTGGCGTGCATCTGCTTCTCCAAAGCACCCCGGGAGACATCCAGAGAAGAGAGACAGCATGATGCAGGAAATCGGGGAATTATGGCCTGCCAGTGGACCAGGAAACCATTCCCCCCCATGGACTTGAAGGCTCTCCACGAGGGATAACGGGAAACACCCCTGCTGCAGCAGGAGCAGTAGAATTATGCCCACCCGCTTAAACACAGGGCAGCCACAGCCAATCTGAATAGGAAAAAAAAAAAAAAAAACGCAGACGAATAGCGACCTCACCCACTTTTCTGCACAAAAAGCATTGCAGAATCACATTCACACCTTAGCGAGAGAACAGTGGCTTGTCCCTGCATTTCTATTCGCAAGGCAGCAGGCTAAGCCGGTTTCTGAGCCTTCGGCTGTATCCAGGTTTCTACACTGGTGGAGTCATCGGCAGGGGTCCAACTTTAAATTAATTACTTACTGCCTCGTGTCGGATATAAACGACCGACCCAGTGCTTGTATCGCCAGGCAGACGGTGGTTCCGCAATGCGCTATGGTCAACTAGGGATCGACGGGCCCTTTAGTCCTTAGGCTAAACCACAATCCTCCGAGGATCCGTTAATTCCTACGCAGGCGAACTGCCTGCCGAATCGTTTCCCTGAGATATCCGTAACCCCGCGCGTATTAGTTAACTTGGTCTGCCAAAGTTTATTGAAATTGCAGGTCACCTGTTGATGCAAGAGAGCCATGCTAGTGTATGGGAATACCCTGCGCAGCCGAATTCCACCAGTGGAGATTGAGCCCCCAGAATTTCGCCGAAATTTCCAGAGCCGTTCAAGGCTATTTTGCGATCAACAGGAGGCGTCCTCTTAGCACGGGCGCGAGTTGACCGGATAGGCAATAGTGAATATCAGCAATTCGGGATGATCCGAGCCACTGACGACAGTATTAAGGAACATCGCCCCGTTCATCCGACTAGGCTGAACTTCCAATCAACAACGCTGACGATGCCCACCAGTAGCTAGCGGATTCAAACACAAGTAACCGTTGATCTGGCGGAAGATTGGCGCCAAGGAATGCGTCATTTTTTTGCTCCGTGCACTGACGGTGTGTAGGGCATGTCCCTTCATTTCAATTTAGTGCGTTAAGGGTTGTGAGAGTGCTTCCAGAGCATTTGATAAATGGTACGATGAGGGGCCGATTCGAAGGCCGACGCCCGAAGGCTCAGGGCCTCGATGGCCAGACCGAGAACTTAGCGTCAAACGACGCGTCAAATGTCTCAAGGAAAGTGTGGCTCAATAGTTCCTCGGACAAAGTGGGAGGAATATAGTTGGCCACTGGTGTGGCCACGGGCCGAGGGAGGGTGCGCCCACATTGTTGATATGGTTGTAGAAAGAAATTAGATTTTGAATGGAAGCGAAAGCATAAGAGAAACTCAATTTCTCGGGGATTAACTGCTTTCGAGAGAATGATGAACAATGTACGGCCCAAAGAAAAGATATACCTCTGACTGATGGCTATCCTCGACCATTTGTATGGAGTGTCTTTGACCAACAATGTCGCTGGCAATTGGCGGACGAGAGGATCCAGAGAGCTTGACGGAGGTTTCTCCGTGTCTAGATGGGGAAAGCGTGGGAGAAACGTCGGAGGTTTAACAGTTTCGGGAAGATGCCGTAGGGTAAAGTACCCCATCGAGTAAGGACTGCCCCATAAGGCCGTTTCACAACCGTCTTTCACAGCCGCAAACGAAGTGGGAGCAATCTTTAGCAGAGAGTCCCTCCATTAGGAAGGACAACTAGCAGTAGACTTACTTGCGTTCCATGGGTAGAGGATTAACGAGGGCAAAAGGCGACTGTCAGTGGCTGATATCGTCTTTGATGGCGCTTAACCCAATCTGGCAAGGACCCTTCTCCGTCCAGAATGGCTCAAATAGGAAATCCCAGCACGTGGGATGCGGAGTGACACTCCGCATACCTTGTCGCATGTAGCATACACTCATGAGAACCTGCATCTTGTAGCGATCCTTTCAACATGGGGAGCCCGCATCTAAAATCCGGGGAATTTCCACTTTCTGGGGTTCAATGAACACAAGTTTTCTCTGCCCTCTGCTGAAGTGTCCGAGCATTCCATTGACACTTCTCAACTTCCTCAGATAACGTCATGGCGGCATTCTCTCAGTACCCTCTATCTACGGGATGGAGCTTCAAAGATAGTGATGATCAGTCGCCTGAAGCGTGGATGCCGGTGGCTGTCGTTCCTTCCGTGGCTCATCAGGATCTACAAGCCAATCAGAAGTACGCATTTCTTTTCACATGCTCAATGCAATCCAATCGCTAACGAAATGCCGATTCCTCTAGACTGAAGAATCCATACATTGGTTTCAATGAACTAGATGCCCGATGGGTGAATGACAAGTCATGGACCTATCGGACCGTTTTCCAGAAGCCCACCGTCGCCGCTGGATCGTCGATTGTTTTGGCATTTGACGGCTTGGATACCTTTGCCACAGTGAAGCTTGATGGCAACGTCATTCTGGAAAGTGACAACATGTTCCTTGCTCATCGTGTAGATGTGACTAAGGCTCTTGAGGCCGAGGGAGACCATGTGCTGGAAATCGATTTCGATTGTGCCATGCGCAGGGCGCGAGAACTTCGAGAGAAGGACACCAAACATAACTGGGCGTCTTTCAATGGCGATCCAGCCAGAATGGCCGTCAGAAAAGCCCAATATCATTGGGGCTGGGACTGGGGCCCACTCTTGTCAACTGCAGGTATCTGGCGGGAGGTGCGGCTTGAGGTATACTCCGCTAGGATCTCGGATCTTTGGACAGAGGTGGAGCTCGCACCGGACCACCAGACAGCCCAGGTTTCGGCTTTCGCTGAAGTGGACGGCGCGGATTCAGTTGACTCTTATAAGGCTAGCTTCGTACTTAGTCTCCATGGCAAGCAGGTCGCTCGCGAGGTGGCCACTTTAAAGGACAGGGTTACGAAAGTGACATTTGACGTGACACAACCGTCCCTGTGGTGGCCCAATGGCTATGGTGACCCTGTTCTGTATGAAATATCCGTGTCCTTAGAGAAAGAAGACCATGAGATTCACAGCATCTCGAAGAAAATTGGCATTCGGACTGCGGAGCTTATTCAGCGGCCCGACAAGCATGGGAAGTCGTTCTTCTTCCGAATCAACGGGGTTGATGTCTTCTGTGGAGGCTCATGCTGGATTCCAGCCGATAATCTCTTACCCAGCATTACTGCCGAGCGGTATCGCAAATGGATTGAATTGATGGTTGCCGGCCGCCAAGTGATGATCAGGTATGTTCGGACGGACTGTTCTAGCTAACAATTTGCTAATAGTGCATAGAGTGTGGGGCGGTGGCTGCTACGAGGACGATACCTTTTATCAAGCCTGCGACGAACTCGGAGTCTTGGTATGGCAAGATTTCATGTTTGGCTGTGGCAACTACCCAACATGGCCCGAGCTCCTGGAGTCGGTTGAGAAGGAAGCAAACTATAACGTGCGCCGATTGCGCCATCACCCGTCGATTGTGGTGTATGTTGGAAACAACGAAGATTATCAAGTGCAGGAAAGCGCCGGTCTTGTCTACGACTACGAGGATAAGAACCCAGAGAACTGGCTGAAGACCGATTTCCCGGCACGCTACATATATGAGAAGCTCCTGCCCTCCGTTGTTGAAAAGCTGTCCCCCAAAACGGTTTATCATCCGGGAAGCCCTTGGGGTGATGGAAAGATAACGTCCGACCCTACGGTGGGTGATATGCATCAGTGGAATGGTAAGTCAAATGGTATCTTAGATTGAGTTCGTGCTAACCTTCGGTAGTATGGCATGGAACCCAGGAGAAGTATCAAATCTTTGATACACTAGGAGGGCGTTTCAACAGTGAGTTTGGAATGGAAGCATTCCCCCATATGTCAACGATCGAGTATTTCGTGGAGAATGAAGCGGACAAATACCCTCAGTCACATGTCCTCGACTTCCACAACAAGGCCGATGGACACGAGCGAAGGATTGCTACATACCTTGTTGAGAACCTGAGAACAGCTACAGACTTAGAGGCATGTTCCCTGGCTCAACCATCAGGATCCGTGTGGCTAACTCAATACAGACATATATTTACCTCACACAGGTTGTCCAAGCTGAAACGATGATGTTTGGGTACCGTGGATGGCGTCGTCAGTGGGGTGATGAAAGACATTGTGGAGGTGCCCTGCTTTGGCAACTAAATGACTGTTGGCCCACCATCTCCTGGGCTATCGTAGACTACTTCCTGCGGCCCAAACCGGCATTCTATGCCGTGGCACGTGTCTTGAAGCCCATTGCTGTCGGCGTGCGGAGGGAACATCATGACTGGAGTGTGACCCATGCGCAGCCGCCGAAGACGAGCAAGTACGAGCTCTGGATTGCCAGTAGCTTGCAGAAGGAAACTGTCGGCACAATCGAACTTAGATTCCTTTCCGTCAATACTGGACTTGATGTCCGTGCGCCCATCCTACGTGACAACGTCAAAATCGTGCCGAACGGCACTACAAACATCCTGGAAGGTATCATTGATCATAAGGCACAACCGGAGCCTCACGTACTTGCTGCTCGACTCTGGGTGGATGGTGAGGTTACCGCCCGCGATGTGGATTGGCCCCAGCCGTTCAAGTACCTTGATTTATCTGATCGGGGACTCGAGGTGAACAAGGTTTCAGAATCCGGTAACGAGCAGAAGTTGTTGATCACCGCGAAGAAGCCTGTCAAATGCCTCGTCTTCGAGGAAAGGGATGGCATCAGAGTCAGCGACAGTGCTATGGATATTGTCCCGGGGGATGGGCAAACGGTCACCATAACTGGGCTGAAGTCAGGTGATGCTCCTCTGAAGTACAAGTATCTTGGCCAGTGATTATTTGGAATGGCCTTGATTGAGTGTACGGCTTTATTACAGGGTATTCAATATTCAATGACCCAATCATGACATGGCGTCCCAGTGTCTGCTATGAGCTTAAAACCAAAATGATGGTGTGATAGCCTAGAAATAATTCATTATTCGGTGCATAGATACCTCGAATTGATTTAACGAAGCTATCTAAGAATTTTACTTTCAAGCACGTGGACATACTTGTTAACTGCAACGAGTTGCACCTAAAGTGGTATCCGTAAGCAATGTTAGAGAAACACGACACCTACTATATGTATCTCTTGCACTTCGGTAGTAGTATGATATCCTCTGCCCTTCTCAACACAGTAAAAATGAGATTACGCGATCCGCCAATCAACTAATACCAAGCACAGACAAGCAAAACCAAGAGCCAGCTCCACTCAGCAAAAAACCATGGGGGAAAAAAAGGGAAGTAAAAAAAGCAGACCCCTCCACCAAGGCCCTAATATTTCTTACATGGCCACCAACTGCCCAAAGCAACCATATCTTATCAGATAATCATCCCGATCCGTCCTAGCTCCAAGTCCAATGATGACGCCCATCAATCAGTGATTTAATTTCATTCCCGCAGATAATTCCCCCTCCATCCCATTACCACCATCCCACCCTAGACCCAATCAACACAAATAAATGGCCGGAACCAAACGCACCTGGGACGGCAAACAGCTCTCACTTCAATCCAGCAACACCAAGCACCAGAGTACTACAATGGCCGAATCATCAACGCAAATCCTCTCCATCTTCGAGACCTTCCGCAACGAGCTAGACGAGCACCACGATCGGCGCGAGCGACTAATCAAGATCTCACGAGACATCACGGCATTGAGTAAGAAGATGTATGTTTCTCCCATATTCCCATCTATCTTTAAAGTCGTGCACATGAAGAGCCTTATCAAGTAAGTAAGCAAAAGCAAAGCTAACACAACCCGCAGTATCTTCTCCCTCCAACGGTAACCCACCCAACAACTCCCCCCCCAAAACAAAAAAAAAAAAAAAAAGAAAACAGAAGCATAACAAGATAAAACCTCCCAGAATCCGCAAACTCAACGCCCCCCTCCCGGAAAATATCACAAAAGAAACCCAATCCCGCTTCACCCAAATCCAATCCCTCTTCAACACCGCCCTCCCAGACATCACGGGCCCAAACAAATGGCGCTACCAGCGTCAACTTAGTGGCGCAATCCAGGAATACATCGAGGCGCTCTCCTTCCACCACTACCTGACTACGCAAACTCTCATCACTCTCTCTGAAGTGCGCGCGAAACTGCCCGCCGAGATACTCGTCACGGAGGAGGATTATCTGCTGGGGTTGTTCGATTTAACTGGGGAGATGATGCGGTTTGCGGTTACGGCGCTGTCGGCTGGGTCGGTTGCTTCTGAGGAGAAGAAGATGGGGCTGAGTAAGGAGCAGAATGGGATTGTGGTAGATTTGAGGGAAATGAGGTCGCTCTTTGAGGGGTTGAGTGTGTCCAGACGGCATAATTTGATTAAGGATTTGGGAAAGAAGATGGAGGTTATGCAAGGGAGTGTGGAGAAGGTGGAGAGGGCTGCTTATGGGATTTTGGTGAGGGGGAGTGAGAGGCCGGCTGGGTGGATGCCGGATCTCGCTGGGGGTGGTGATGAGGGGTATTAATTAGTTTTAAGAGTTTTGTTCGGGGTGGTTGAGTGTGGGCTGTGCCTGTATGTATGTATGTATGTTTGATCCATGTATCTATAGAAGAGTGAGAATCTTCTGAACTAAGTAACCTAGATTTAACTAAACTAAACTATTCCAGGAGCTGAGGTAAATATTTCCATATCAAGCTCGTATCTCATGCCCTCTGTTGTATGTCATTTACCATATTTTTTGTTTTGTATGTGTAGAGCAAGAAATCGTCAAATGTAACCCATTAATCCATCCATATACTCCGTCCATCAAACCATAACCCATGACCCATATCCATCATAACCCATCGACAGCTGCCAAAGACAGAATCAATCAAATAGTCGGCTGCCTCGGATCTTCATCCTCCGTCAAGATCCCCTGAGCCATGAGGTCCTCCGGCTGCGGCCGGTTTTGAATCTTCTGGTCGAGATGATCGGCCAGCATGTGTTTCTCCAGTTCGCGGGCGTGTGCCTGAAGCGCGGGAGCTGCATTGGTATGCGGGAGGATATTGCCTTTTGTATATAATATACAAGTTAGTATTCAAGTTTATAACGATATGACAATAGCTAGTCACGAGAGAAGAAGCGCAGATGAACAGGGGAAAATAATGTCAAAATACGCACGCTCAACTAGTTCCTCGCGATCCGGTCTGTGCTCAAGGTGTTTCTTCAGATTATCAGTTGTGCGCTGACGGTCTAGTTCCTGTCTTGCTGCTTGGATGGATCTGTAGATTATTGGTTAGTTGCATGATGGGAGTCATGTCGGTACTATAGTAAGTAGAATCATGGAACCGTACGGAGCAACATTGGTGTCGAGGAGAATGTGTCTCTCTTTGAGATCCTGGGGATCAGGACGGTTCAGGAGATGTTTCTCCAGAGAATTGCGTCGCTCGGTGGGCGATGCGGCGAGGGATGTTTCGTCGACGGCGTTGATCATTGTCATTTGCTTGCTTGTAGCTGAGATGATTAGTAGGGAAGTATGGAAAGACTAGCACTTGTATAGTATTGGCAAGGTTTGAGTTCTTGGAGAGACGATTGGGTGGGGAGAATCAAGCCCCGGGGGATAGTACTTACGTATTGGGTTTCTGATTTATTGCTGGGCGATGTAGGTACAAGTAACCGTGAGGATGGGAGGGTGAAGGAGGGGCAGTCAAGTGACGTTGACATCAATGCGGAGGTTTAATCCACGGGACCTTAACTGCGGCTATTAATATTTGGGGCATGACCTCATGGCATGGGCTCATTAGAGTTTCCTTGTACACGGTTTAGGGTTATCATATCTCATCTCATCTCATCTCTTCTCTTCGTGACCACGAGCTAAACATAGGTTTCAATTCTTGTCATCTGTTTCTTTTTCTCGTTTTCTTAATAAACAATACCAGAAGCACTACTAAAGCATGCGTCTTGCCCATCCCCTTCATACTCCCACAGAGCAATAGCAACAGGTTCAACAAAAATAAGCAAGACAACTCTCATATGTGTGGGTGGTAACTGCTGAGTAATATGTTGAATAGCTAGCTCGTTTACGCATGTCGGGTTGAACAGGTGCGTGGTCCAGGAGCACCCGACATGTGGAAGGACATAAAACAGAAAGCTCGTTCCTCCATCGTGACGGAAAGCAAGTGTATGAGCAAGAAGACCCGTCTGACCCCAGAACATGACCTAGAGCCTGATCATCGGTCTCGCACGAGAATGGTTGTATGGATCGAATCAATGCCGTATCCGACTCGCACTCATCCTTCATGTCCGTGCAATCCATATAGGACCCATTCGCCTCATCCATCAAGTCACAGTCTGAACTGACATCGACCAGTAGGCAGTCCGGGAACGGAAGATGATTCCTGCTTCGAATAACAACCACAGTGGTCTCTGTTGGAAATTGCAAACAAATGCCCCGTCGACATCACAATCAACGGGGCTCTGCCGTCCGCTCAAGGAACCCAGAGTTTCCCACGGCCCCGGCTGTTACCACGAGTTGGCCCACGAGGAGCCCCTCGACGACCGCTGCTGTAGTTTCGAGACGCTCCTGCCATGCCACGCGCAGCCCCGGATTGCGTGCTGAGATCGATCGTAGGCTGCTGCTTGTTGGTCGTGGTGGGCAAGGACCGACTGAAAGAGTTGGGGTCGATAGGCTGAGTAGGTATCTCCATCGTATTCTCCACCGGCGGCGCCATGGTCTTAGAGGCGGCGGGTTTCCGATTGCTTCCGCCACGCGACCCTCCTCGTGAGGTTCCTTTTCCGCGGCCCCGAGGAACAAAGACTAGTTCATCCTCGTCGCTTTCGTCGTCGTAGGAAAGCAGCGACTTCGGCTCAGCCGTCTGGGTTTGGGTTTTTTCCACATATTTGCAGCGATTCTTGTATTCCCGTTCTTCGTACTGAATGGAGGTCCGCAGCTGGTGGATGTTCTTCACGCCAATGCCAAACTTCTGAGCCCAAATCTGCGTGGAGCGATCGTTCGTAATGAGGATACAACTTTTAGCCGCATTCGACGCATCCGGGCCGCTGTGCAGCCGCCAAAGCAACGCACTGAGTAGCGGTCGGAGCACCAAGGGAACCGTGGGGATGGTGGAGCCGGAAGCAGATCGCTTGTGTCCGTTCGTCTGCTTTACTTTGAGGTTGCTTGTTCCGTTTCCATTCTCGACCACATGAGAGTTGGCACATTCGGGACTCGTACGGGAACTTCTCGATGAAGGTGGCGATGCAGGGGCACTGTGAGTCCCTGCCGAGTTAACCGATGCGGCGTCTGAGTCCTTCTTAAAGTTCAGCTTGTTGAGAAGCATTTGCGACAGGTCATCCGGGGCTCCGTTTTTCTTGTTGTCTCTTCCCTTAGGCCCCTTCTTCCCCAACGGCGTCTCCCCGGCACCGGCCCCATTTGTCGCCTCCGGCTCCTCTTCGAATTCCGGCAAAAAGAACTTCTCCGCATCATTCCAGTTCTCGTACTGCTCCATCGGACCCTGAAGAGCAACGCGATCGGCCGGGGTACTGTCCTTTCCGGAAGTAACGCGGTCAAGAAAGCGAACAGCCTCGCGGGCGTTGATAGCGACTTGAGACCCGGCTCGTTTCAATGCATGAAGGCGTTCAAGGGCTGAGTCAAGGGAGGATGGTGAGAAAAATGTAAAATGTACCGAATGGACAAAAGAAAAATGATAGAAATAGACAGAAAATACAATGAGAGATACGTACTGTAAAGAGGAACGACCAAGGTGATCGCCCCGTTGGTTGTCCATTTTTTGATTTCGCTGATGTTGGTGGTCAGCGCCGTCTCATCCACGGCACAGTGGAAGACCTTGCGTCCGGTCGACATCGCTTCAACGGTCGACAAGATGCAGATCGCGTAGGTTGAATCTTAGGGATGGTTAAGGCGGCGCAGTGCCCTACACCGAATGGCTGATTTTAACGAGTGCGACTGAGCCGCCGCGGCGTTAGCGGATGGGTCCTCAGAAGGAGGTTTGGTTTGATGGCGGAGGGATATGAGAATGTGGGGGCAATTGGCATTAAGATTAGGTCAATCAAGAGGCACCAAGGACAACCTCAGGCCACAAAGATGCCGGAACAAACAGACCTCAAGGTACTTACCGTGGGATCCTGGTTCACAAAGAAGGAACATCTGCAGCATTTTGGGAATCTGACCGAGTCATTCGCGGAAATAATAAGGCCCAGGTAAAGGCAGATTGAATGGTCATTGAACAGCAGCGGATCAACTGTGACGCCGTGAAGAGTGACTCTCCGACTGACTAAGCGGAACAGTCATCATCTACAAGGTTCATCACGTTTCTACATCGATTCGACAGGGAAATTCCACAAAGTGATAACCAAAAGAAAAGCAATGAGATGAGATATTCTGTTCATTTCAATAACCATACTACTGTAACGAAGGATATCTACTTGGGTTACACTCTATAGAATAATTGACATGCTGTCACCGTAACACAAAAGTCCCCCATAGAAGCAAAGAACGAACGCTATGTCATACAAGCATCAAGGGCCATCTTGACGCAAATTCGCAGTCAAGGCAATGATAGGAGACGCTTAGTTCCCACCAGCCTAGTTCAGCTTTTTGATCAGTCCGTCGGCAGGCTTGACACGCTGCGCCCACTCACTAAACGATATACATAGTAAGCAACTGTACTTTTCAAAGGCATGGTATTTAGCAAATGGTAAGAAGTACTTACGTCCAGCTTCCATCGTACACCCTCCGAAGGTTAGGATCTCCGTACTCTGCTTCGCCCAAGGCGGTTTCAATAATCGTAGCCGTCACACCAGTGCCGCAAGAGCTGATGATCGATTTGGAGTCATCAATTTCTTTCTCTTCGAAGATTTTGCGCAGCTCAGACTTCGGGCGAAAAGTCTTCGTCTCCGGATCCAGTAATTCTTGAAAGGGCAAGCTCTTGGAGCCAGGAATATGGCCTGAGGACAAACCTGGGCGTGGTTCGGGATCAGTTCCCGCCCAGCGGCCGTAAGATCGCGCATCCAAGATCTCGACTTCTTTAGCACCTTCTTTCCTATGCTCTTTGGCAATCTCCTTCAACTCCAAGTACGGGATCACCAGTTTCGAATCGTAATTAGGGACTGGATAGCTGGTCCGTTCCACTTGCTGGGGCTCCCCAGTCTCCGTCGGGTACCCTTCGCGTACCCACAGTCGATAGTTGTCCAAGAGATGAACCCGAGGGTGTCCAAATACTCGTAGAGTCCAGCCGACACGAGGCGCGCTGAAGATTCCGAGCTCTTCGGTGTCATAAACTACCACTTCGTCGTCACGCCGGATGCCAAGCTCACTCATCGCATCGGCAAATGTCTCCGCGGTGGGAAGCATGTGGGGGTACGGGGATTCCGCATCTTTGATCGCATCCAAGTCAAAGAATCGGGCCTGGGGGATGCGATGTTTCCGGAAAATGTCAATCCCTTTGCGACCTTCCGGGTCATTGGGCATAAACCATGCAGCGCACAGTGGGACGACGCGCGGTGATGTCGAGATCTTGGTGGGAGGGTTCTTTTTGAGGGCCTCACTGAGCTCCTTGGGAGAGATCAGGTATGAGGAGAAAGAAACCTGGCGACATTGGGATTGAAGTCGCGCTTGCGAAGGGGCCGACATGGTCGGACGAAGCAGGCGAGTGGCGGAGGGGATCGAATGGCGAAGTGCTGCGAAAGCCATATTCGCAGCGCGGATTTACTGGGGAAAATATAGAGAGAATTGAAAGAGGATAATCAATATTTACATACCGAATCGGCAATGTCGTCAGATGGTGTCATCTGATCGCGGACGATAAGAATTTAAATTGGGATGTGTTAATTTAATGCAAGTGCGCAGTGAGGGGAAAGTCCGCAGTATTCACTTTCTTATTTTAATTTTTTATTATTTATCAGTGGTGCTAAGTCACTACTAACTTAGTAGTAACTAGTAATCGTTTGGGCCTAAAATGCGGAGTCGCCCATAAACAAATCATTTTCTCCGCCATGTGAAAAACAAGTGGAAAAAAAAAACAAAAAAAAAATAAAGGTAACAAACCAGAAAAGATCCGTTATCTTGCTTGAGCTCCACTTACTACTCTCACCGACCACTTTTCCCTCCCTCCTCACTCGGAACAAGTTAATCCACGCCCTCAAACCAAACCACATCGCGATCGACCATGAAGGTCACTATTAAAGAATGGAACGGGGTTGCCACTTGGCGTTGGGATATGCCCGAGGATGATGTTTGTGGCATCTGTCGCGTCCAGTTCGATGGGACTTGCCCGACTTGCAAATTCCCCGGTGATGATTGTTCACTACGTAAGTCTCTTGGTTTTGTTTGCTAAAAAAAATAATATATATATAAAAAATATTGGGGGCTTTCATATTAACATCGATGTAATTACAGTGCTAGGCAAATGTGGACATTCGTTTCATATGGTGCGATAGTGGATCTTGATATTGTCATGGAATATAGAAACTGATGATTCACCTCTCCAGCATTGTTTGATGACTTGGATCCAACAAGAATCTTCAAAGGGGCTTTGTCCGATGTGTCGTCAAAGTATGCCATCCCTAGATAGGGATTTATCGATGGGAACTGCTACTAACTATAACCACAGAATTCGAATGGAAACAAGAAGATGATGAATAAGCCTAAACATCATCCATCCCCGCGGCGACAATGGGGGAGACGTTCAAGCTCGACGGATACGATACCCATTTTTAAAGAATCATTAAATCGCAATTGTTTCTCTTTTCTTGTACAATACAGAGTGTTATCAACATTGCATTCATGACTAGCTTCCGCGCAGTCACCTGACGTTTGTTTATCGATAAGAGAGCAGGTGATCAGCTTCACTCGAGCTTATAAAGTGGAAGCCGAGAGCTTACAAGTTGCCATTGCAATCCACCCAAACAAAGCCTCAATGTCCTTCCCTGTCACCTCCTAATCATGTAGCGCAGCCTATCAGAAATGTCTCTTCCAAAACATACCACATCAACTTCCTTGTCCTCTTCGCCCTCCAAACAATCCATCCGGCGGACCACAGAGTCAAACGTCCCGTCTCGCCCGGAAAGCACCATTGATCGACCCACCACAGCCCAACAGACTCACATAGTGTCTCAAGAACCACAAGTTTATGAGCCAGTCGCAAACGTGACATCCCCGCATTCAGAAAATGAGAGGCCGCATGAGATATCCGCTTCACATCCGCCATTCCAACCGTTCTTCACGCTGATTGAAGACGCTAGTACCTCCGAATACTACCACCCAACTGTTCACTATATCTTCTCCGATGATGACACGGACATTGTGACCGAGGCAGCCTTGCGCTCCTTGGAGCCCGAGCAAAATACGCTGCCTCACGGCGGAAAGGGAACCTCCAGGGCCACACGTGACCAGCACCCACAGGAACAGGGTGAAGGAGCAGAGGAGGAGGATGAACTGTCAAATGAGAGAAAGGAATCGTTGCTTCCGCCTCCGATACCTGGTGTTCGGGATAACTACATCATTCTCGATATGGACATGCTTACTCCAGATGATATGCAACACATGAATACTGCCCCCGGACAGGACGTCAGTGTCGGCTCCCCGGGGGCCCAATCCGCTGTTCCCCAACAACAGCAAGATTTCCAGAACCATCACCAACATGGTCAAAAATTCGCGGTCACTTCAGCCTACAGCTTAACACCGACATGGCAAGTTCTAAATACCCAGCTGGTACCCGCCCCGACTTTTGAAAACAATCCTTCCGGCGAGCACTCCCCAAACGGTGCCCTGATGTTGAAAATTCAAGGGACAGTCGGCTTACCTATGACACTGCCTGGTAAGGATAAAGATAAAGATAATAGCACCCAGCGATTGGAGGATATGATGGAGCAGTTCTCGAAACGTTTAGCCGAGCTCCGGCAAGTTATTGAAGTTGGAGAACAAGCGTACGTGCTAGGAAATGCAGATGAAGAACACATGCCAACCGAGCCGCCAAACGCAGAGGATACTGCTGTGGCAAGCCCCGAGGGCCAACATGAAACCCAAACGCAGAACGGGGATGATATGGTCAGCAAAAGCTCACGGCCTTGATTGGTCTAGCTGTTGGCGCGAACGGAACCATAGGCCTTGACAGAAGCCGTGCTTCTAACTCAAGATGCTCAGCCTGGCCTGCTACACGCCGGAATCTGATCAGAAGTCAAATTAAGAGATAATTACCTCCAGGTCATTGAGATGAAGGTGTAACACACTATATCGTCCAGTCTGCTACCGACATTATGATCTTAAGTCCTTGTATCTATTATAGCACAACGAATAAAAGTAGCACCAAAATAGCTTAATCTCCAGAACATGACCTAACTATGGAACGTGCACATGAAAAATGGTGAGCAGTTGACCCCGTAACAACGCCCGCACTATTAACAACCTCCGGAGGGTGAAACGAAGTCAATTCTCGCCAGCCGCTCTTTGGAGCCGTAGGATATACAAGTGCCATTGCCTTAATTTCTTTCAGCGCCGTCTATGGTATCTCAAATGCAGGTGTTGGGATTTGCTCGATGGGTGTCCTGAGACTTGATTCAATTGTGAAAAGTGTATCATCTATCAACTATCTCCATACACCTACTTTATACACGAATAGAGTACGGAGCCCACGACTATCATGGTGCATTGAACGAGAATATCGAGGCATCGTTCTATCCGTCATAGTGGCTAGAATCAGCGGTATATCTACGGACTTGTTGTTTCCGTATGGGTTGCAAGTAACTTTGTGCAGAAGGTAAACCTCTGCATTAGCGTGGTGCGAAGGGGGTGCAGGGCCCGCAGTTAGGCCCACAGGGTTGGCTGCTGAGTAAGAATGTTTCATCAAAGAGTTTACGCTTGACGAGTGTATCTGAGTTTCGTCGATAAGTTTGCTATCGGGATCGTGTGGGTGACGCTGATATGAGGGAAACGGCTCAGCAGCCTCGACTTTAGGTGGGCGTGATTCTGATTCTGAATTTCACAAAGGTCTCGGATTAGTGATGCAGACGGTACTACGTGCAACAAAGCTGTACGATAGGTTATTCTTACGAACTGGTACAGGCTCCATCAAGAGCATTGAAGTCTTGATTAACATGAATATCAAAAACTGTCTTTCCGATATTAACCCAAAACAAGCCAGATAGGTATCATACTAGTCCCACCTAGAAAACGCCAAAATTTCCAAAGGAAGAGTGAGCAACCTGAAACCAGTGTGCAAATAAAGGCGATGGTCAATGAAAACAAAATATCCCCCTGCGCCAAGCAAGCCAGCAAGATGGTGCGGAGCACCCTTTCCTGCACACCAAGTTACCAAGTTCCTTCACCATAACGCCCGTGTATCCCAAAATGACGAAAGGGTATAAAAGTTGAGAATAGCAAGTATAGGATAAATCGTTTGATGTAATATCTCAAGGAGCAGGCCGAGTTCTAGTTCGTCGAGCGCTCGAAAGCCCGGGTGGAGGGACGTTCTCCCGGCCTTCCATCATTCCAGCCATCCTCTTGGTCAACATGTTTTTCGGCAGTTTGCTGTCAGTAGTGGTCGGGTTGGAGCAGCGCCTCTTGGCTGGAGGCTCATCTGAGTCTTCGCTTTCCGGGGCAGTGTCGACTTGCAAAGATTTGCCGGCTACGGAAATATTCGATTGCCGCACCGAAGCCCTGTCGCCCGGGCTAGACGCGAGCTGTTTTGCGGCGACGTTTGCATCGACTTCCCTAAGACCTGTGTTGGAAGTGATCCTCGCTGTAGGTGTCTGATTCCCTACCTCGTCTTCGGTATCGTTGTAAACAAAGCCTTTGGTGGGAGAGGTTCCCGGAAGGAGGTCTTCGCCATTGAACGGGAGTAGCGTGAGCTCCCTTGACGTCCGAATCCCGGATATCAGAGTATCATGCGCCTCCGTCCGAGGAAGATCTGTAGGATACTCGTAATGGCGTTTCTGTGGGGTAGCGCCGGTAGCAATATACTCTTGCAGTGGACGACTATGAACAGTATTGCGCAGCTCTGTGAGAGGCTTGCGAACCTCTTCTAACAAAGGAGAGGTCGCCTCCTGCAAACTGTGCTGCTGCTGAGCGGCGTCCTCCTGCAGCTGGCCAATTCGCGTACCAACCCCTTTCAATTGTTCATGAACGAAAGAATAGGATTCACGGACGCTAGACGCCATGTTGCCCAAGCTGGAGATATGGGCATCGCGATATTGGCCATTCTGACACCGTGCTTTAGCCACGAAATCGTCTAAAGCTTCCATCTGTTTGTCCATATTGCTCATCTGGGCATCGACAATTCGTACTGTTTCCTCATGCACGGATTCGGTCGTCTTTTGAATAGAGGCGTTGCGTTGGTCAAATAACTCCCAATCGTTCTGCATCTTAGCCCGAAGCTCATCTCTAGAAGCGGCAACGTCCTTGGCAAATTGCTCGGACTTGAAAACCCATTCATCTGTCTGGCGATCATGTTGGGTCGTTGCTTGCTCCAGTGAATCGCCCGAAGACGAAATATCTGCTCGTACATTGTCCAATCTCCCCTTTAAGCGACTAACTTGTCTCTGGCGGGATTCCTCCATCAAAGTCTTGAGCTGCGAAAGTAAAAGATCTCGCTCCGATTCAGCGGTGGCGTGCTCTTCTTCAAGGGCATGCGCCAGATTAGAAGAAGCTCTACGGTTCGCTTCGACGGTCTGGAGGTTAGCTTCTTGGACTTGCAGTCGCAACCTATTAATTTCCATCTTCTGCTCATTGAGATGCCGCACCATCTCCTCGAACAAGGACTTAAAGTCCTTACCAAGAGTGCTGTAGGACGAATGAAGCTGCTCATGAAACTCTGTGAATTCGCCAATAACTTCCTTGGATATCCGAGCGGCGGCAGCGGAAAGACCATTCAATCCCTCTCCAACTTTGCACTTAACCTCTTCACGCAAGTCTTTGATCTCCTCAAGCACATCATTCATCTGATCGTGGGCGCCGCACGTTTGAGTCTTCGCGTCATGCTCAGCCCTATCAAAAATAGCACCAAAGCTCGACAACGCTGACTGATTTGATTGGACGTGACTCAATTCGCTAGAGATGTAATCGTTGATCTTTGAAGCCATAGATTCCAGGAGCTGTGAATGTTGTAATTGGAAAGCCTCCACTTTTCTGTCGACTTCCTCGGTCACAGAGGACACTTCTTTGGCTGACGTTTGCCATGTTTTTATGTTAGATGAGTCTAGATCTGCCTTTCGGTCGAGTTTTGCGTGCAAACCATCCACATCTCCAACAGTTTTATCCAATGTCGACAAAAGCCCCGTACCAATGTCGTAAAGCTGGCTTTCGGTATCTTGATGTGCTTTCCTCAACATTTCCTCTTCTTCTAGAAGTGACCTGGTATTCTTGAGAACAATCTCAGTCTTTTCAAGGACATCATTTGTATCGTTTAGAGCTGCCCGTGTATCCTCGTTGTCCTTCTTCAGGTTATTGAAATTACTCGTAAGCGTAAACAGCTCCTGAACCTTGTTTCGCAGGTTGGATTCCATTGATTCGATCTTGGCTCGTTGTTCTTCATTAACGATTCTCCGCGATTCATTCTCCATGGTCATTTGCTCGTACGCGTCGACAGTCATATATACACCGTTTCGGTGTCTTGTGGCAATGAGTTCTCCTTTGAGCTTCTCGATCTCAAAAGCGAACTCTTGAAGAAGTTTATGTTTCGATGTGAAGTTAATCTGCGGCTTGTTGCGAATGTTCTTGGCTCTAAAGGCATAATCTAGCGTTGAAATTGTTTCTTCCATGTTGCTCCGAGACGGCGAAACCGTCGCGATAATACATGTTTTCGTGCGCCCACCAAGAGAGTCTTGCAAAAGACGTGTAAGTTTCGATTCTCTGGAGGAAGTTAGTAAATATCGAATTGTTGTACTTTATATTCTTACCTATATGGGATATGAGGACTCTTATCGACCAAAGCGTTGATTACTCGACCCAAAGTCAGGAGACTTTTATTGATCAGACCGGCTTCTGTGGCACGCTTGTTCTCGGCTCCACTGCGCTGGATGTTTTCGCTACCGGCCAAGTCAACCAAATTCAGCTTCCCAGAGCTGACATACTCTTCGCCTGCATCCGTTGTGCGCTTCGTATGTACTGTAATAGTGAAGATTGTGTGACTGCGAGAACTCAGGTCATTGCACTTGGTCGCAGCAACTTGCCGCTTATGGCTACCATGTTGAAGTAGCTTGATGCCGGAAGAGGCGGAGTCAATATACGTTTCTTCAATACCTTGGACAAGGGTGCTCTGTCCTTTCTTCGACTCGTTCTCGAAAATCTTCAGCTTCTGGGTTTCTTCTGCTGACAGCAGATCGCGAAGTTCTTCATTGTATAGCTCAATGAAGGAGCATTTGACGGTGCTTTCCGTCTCTTCGAGTTTGTGGAACAGCGAATACAGAACACGTGGGATAATGCCGGCATTGTCGGAAAGGATGCCCAGAGTATCGGTCATATCGCCTGACATTGTGTATGTTTTCCCGGTCCCCGTTTGTCCGTAGGCAAAGATAGTACAGTTGTATCCAGCTAACATCTCATTGACAATCGGCAGGACAACATCCTCGTACACTGCGAGCTGGTCGGCGGCGGCAGAAAAGACCTTGTCGAAAGTATATGTCTTGTTTGAAACGGCATTTGGCCCCATGGATAGTTCCACAGTATTCCCCTTAACACCTTCGGTCTTCACGACGACACCACTGTTCTCTTTGATTTCCCGATCATTGCGCCCACGGCAGCGCACCACAACGTGAATGCTGGTGTCTTCATTTATTCCACGTTCAAGATCTCGTTCCTTCCTTTTGGCTGTTACGCTAGCCGGTTCAGCCGGTGATTTCATTGCGCGCGATCCACCAGAGGCAGGGATTTTGGAGGAAACTGCTGGAGAGCCGGCCCTCTCGGTTGCTGAAGATCCTAATCGCCTGGTTGGTTGGCGTGTGGTTGTTGTCCTCCTCGTAGGGAGGCCAGAGGCAAGCCTTTGGGGGCCAGCCATTGTGAACAAGTCTCACTGACAAACTCACTACCACAATAACTTAAAGGGGATGTATATGTAGTTTCAATGTGTGCGACTAAGTGTGATGTCGCGCCACTTTGATATGTCCAGGAGAAGCCGGGAAGGCCCAGAAAGGAAAATGTAAACAAACTAACAACATTGATGCACGTGCCCGTTAGTGGTCTGTGCTCAGGAGTCATGCCGGCATTTCACATGATCTATGCGTTCATCGTCATCCTTCGGATTGATATCTATTCTCTATCTCTTCCTAAGCATTTGTTAATTCATACTTATTTCATACTCACTGCTAGTGTTATTGTACTTGT